AGTGTGTCAGAGATTATGGTACATAGCAGTGTGTCAGAGATTTCAGTATATAGCAGTATGTCTCAGACATAACATTATAAAGTAGTATTTCAATCAGATATTTCTCATAAAAGACATGAGGGAGTCCAAGGCTACACATTTGTGTGTATTTTTCACAAACTAGAAAATGTGAAGAATGCATAACACAGCGAGGGACCAGTGAATGTTGGCCAATATAAAGTAACTTGAAAGGTCTAAACCAGTAAGAGCACTGCACAGTAGGTGGACTAACAAACAAGTAGCTATACAAACAAACCCAATGTTTGTCAGGTGCTTCTCTTTAGGTAGCCCTCAATCTCCTCTAACACAGAAATCTGAATAAAGAAAGTCACAACACTGGGTAAAGTTATACAAAATGGACCTGGAAACCATAAGACCAGAGGTAGGCAACCTTCAGCACGCCAAATGTTGTGGACTGCATCTCCCATAATGACCTTACATCCATAATGCTGGCAAAGTATTATGGGAGATGCAGTCCACACATGTAGACTACTTAAAGTTGCCTACCTTTGCTTTAAACCCACAAGGGTCTTTGCCAACTCTAAAAATAGGGTCCAAAGTGAACACAAATTGCATTAACTGAATCTGTAGCTTAGAGGGATAATGTATCATCAGTATAATTTGTTCAACCCTTGGGTTGCAAGTACAAATCCCAGCAGGGTTGACTCAGCCCATCATCCTTCTGAGGTAGATAAAATAAGTACCATTAAATTGGGCCTAATTCCAGAATCTTATTGACAGAAAACACTAAAAAAACAGTTATACCTCCTAAGTGTCATGGTGGAGATGGTACTGGAGGGAAACTCACAGGATATAGCTATCAGAAAATACATACCCTATGCTAATCTCTCGCTTTGATCTTTCAAGTAAATCTATAACCCCTAACAGCAGGTCCAGTGAAGCAAAATGTCGGTGGGCGAGGTAAAAGGGTGAACCACTGACGTGTGTCACGTAAGCAGAATCGCTCCAAAGGGGGCAAACATGCCCAGAAAGGGGGCATGTCTGCACGAAGAATTAGATGAAATCAGAATGACTGCAAATCATGCGGGCTGGTCAACTAAGGGCAAACTATGCAGACAGCACCCTGAGCTTTGCATAAATGCGTCTAATGATGTGCTCGCTCCATGCTTTCAAAAGCCGGTCTCCTAGCACTCGCTGGTCCACTCCTCTCCTAACCTTCTTACTAGCAGGCAGAAGCTCCTGTTATACAGTCTGGGACATACAAAAGTGTATGTAATACAGCTTTCTTAAGTTTCCATACTTAAGCAAAAACATGTGAAGAGAAGCAAAAAAAAAAAAATTATTATCATTTTTTTTTTTTTTTTAATCAATGGGCTGCAGCTCCATTAGCCCCTATGTTAATCCGACCCTGCTGTGACGTAATTACCATTCTTTCAAATGAGGTTCTTTGCATTATTTTAGATCAGGTTCATAAAAAGATGAGTTTTAAAGGCCCTACTTGATGGATTTAGGTCTATTTTCAATCCAGATTACTATGTTACTAAGACAAGTTGGATATACAGTAGGCTTTCATTTTAAGAGAAAGGGTAAAACTACAAACAAAAGTTAAGGGTAAAATGTATTTCATACATAGTAAAAGATGATTGGTAGAAGATAAAGAGCTTAAAATAAAAGGGGATCTTAAATGTTAGATAATGCAATTGGGGGAGAGAATCAAGTCAGGTTAGAGAGGGTTAATGTAGGGAGAGGAGAGGGAAGACAGCATGTTAATAGTTTAATTGACATGCCTTCTGGAAGAAGTGATATTTTTGAACTAATTTAGACTTGGTGAGAGTCTAATGGAACAAGGAAGGGAGTTCCAGAGGAATGGTTTAGTCGAAGAGAAATCTTGAAGTATGAACAGATGCGAGGACAGAAACGAGGACTACGAGGACAGACACATGTTTTTCATAGTATTGTTATAAATGCCTTAAACAGTGAGGACAGGTGTATAAGAGCAGTGTTATGAAGTTATTTATAAGTAAGGACAATAATTTTACAATCTAAATCTAATGGGAAGCCCATATAAGGACTGACAGAGGGGTTTGGTATGGTATGTGCGGGAGGTAACGAAGATGATCCAGTGGAGTATTCATTATAGATTATGATGGGGTGATCAGGGAATGTGTAAATTCAGTGACAAGTGGATTATATTAGTCTAAATTAGAGGAAATTAGCATGGATGAGCACCTTAACTGCAACTGGTGTAGGGTAGAGATGGATGCAAGCTATTTTTGTCGGAGTGAAGACCATAGAAGAGAATGCCAATAGGCCATAGAACATGATAAAATGACAGGAAATGAAAGTACCTTTCAAAGACATCATGTGCCTTCATCTATAAAGCCAGAGACCTTGTTAAGAGAAATCACCACCTCCACATCTCAATGTACGGACATAGATGTATTGAAGGTCAGCTAGTGTTCTCGGGATTCCACAATACTAAACACCGTTACTTATTTTATCGTAAGACTTAATTATTATTTACACATATTACCAGGTGGTTTTGTTCTTTTTGCCCAGGGTGTTTGTGTTTTTACCCCTCCATTCTGTAAAGCAAAGCAGGTGCTTATGATTACGTAATCGATGCTGTACAGTGATCTCATTTGGAATGTTTGGTGCTCACTGTTTGTTATATACTTTTGCATGCTCTTGAATATATGTTACCATTTTTTCAGCTGTCCTTCCGAGTCATTCATTTTTACTCTCTCTCACTTCAGCCTTGTTTTCACAGTTCATTTAGTTCGATAGAACAAAGTTACATTTACCGGGAAGAGTTAGTGAGATCAAGTGACATTGATCTCTGTGTTACGATATCATAGCGCAGTGTTCTTGGTGTCTCGTAATGTTCTATTCACTAAAGTATTGAATTGCTGAAAATTCTAGGTGAATAAAAATTTTCTTAAATTTGACTTTTATATTTTTTCCTGTTTGGCAATTTTGGACAAAATTTAAAATGTACTATGATTTCACCATCAATTCCCACCAAATTTACACTTTAGTGTGATTCAGGTTAAAGATGACAAAAACATATGCTTTTGGAGACACAGATCTAACAGCTCCCTACCATGTAGGCCACCAGAACAGTATTGTGCTTTGACGTCCTAACGTCTCTTAGTCTCAGAGTATTAATTCTTTAAAACTAAAGCGATAGAAGCCAAAAAGAAATGATCTGCAAATAGTTGGCAGGCATGAATTAGCTATGATACAATAAATTTTAGTTTTTTTTGTTTTCAAGAAAGGCTAAAATACTTTCTGAATACCGAATTCTGTGCATTTTATTTGTGTTAGATCTTATAAAAGGCATGTCTTGCAGTGAAAACTTGAAATCCAGCTGTTTCTGGGTTTTTTTTCTGGGTTTTCATGAGCTTAAAGTTATTTTGCTTTCAAAGTCAATAAATCTTAAATTTGTGCAACTCAAAGGGAGCCATGCTAGACCTAGATCAAACCCTACAGTTTATGAAAGTATGTACTTTCTATTATTTAAAATGTGTTACAAAAGTACCATCTAGTGGCTATAGTCACAAACTGCACAGTTATGCAGAACTCATGTAAAGAATGTCAAAATAACTGTATACTTGCTATTTATTTACAGATTTCCATTTCTGCTTGCCAAAATTCTACTAAAATGAATGCTGTTATTAACTTGATTATTTTGTCTATCTATAATTGTAACATTTGTACTTGCTTATTCGTTTATTATGTTTGAAACAGAATGTTCTTGCTTAATGTTAAATTGCTGTTATTAGAAGCTTCATTCAACGGCATTACTTGTTTTTAACCTTGTTGCCAATTACTTCCATTAAACAATGAAATTAATTAAAAATATAATATACAGCATCATTTTAGCCCAGAGGAAGTTAATCTCCGGCTATTTAGTATAAGCCTCGAGGCTCTCACATATTGCACTGTGGTTACCTCCTTTAGTGTAAATAAAATTTATTGAGATTCAAGAAACAGGTATGATGATGGGAAGAGAAAAAAAAAAGAGGGGGATAGGGGTCATATCATTCAGGTTTTAACATAGTCATTAATACGGTCCAAATTAATATATTGCTCTCCAAAATATTAATTGTAAAGCAGCCATTCCAAGCATTTGATGAGAGACGATCGAAATAAAGTTGAAGATTTCAAATTAAAGTAGATTAAATTCTCAGGTTAAAGGACAACTGTCAGATTTTTACTTTTGTTTTTTAAATTTATTACATTTGTGGACGCTTAATGATATATTTTTTTTAAATGATGGATATTTATTTTTTTGATAAAATTATTATTTCATTTATTTTTTTTATATGGCTGAACAGCCATGTTGAGTCAGACTCTACTGTTAGCTGACTAACTGCTACTCCACCTAACGTGCCTGCTGTTGCAATTGTTCTGTGTGGATTGTGTGAAACTGCAGCAGTAGACATGTTAGCTCGAGAAGCAGTTGGTCAGATAACAGAATACAAGAGATAAAATAGGCAGACACAGGGCAATATTGTCTGTGCATATGTTTGAAATTGATAAAATACACTCAAAAAGATATAAATGTAGTAGCAGGCTCCTCACTTATCTAAAGTATAAACTCCTCCTTGATCTTAGTAGACATTTAGTGGATAGCGGATGCTGCCTTCTGTAGACATCTATAATACTCATAACCCCAATGAAGTCTTGAGAGTAAAACCAGGGCCAGATTAAGAGCCCAGTAGGCCTGGTGCTGACAATTATGATGGGCCTAATTACAAAATCTTATTGACCAAAAACACTAAAACTGTCCTACCTCCTAAGCGTCATGTATCTGATGGAGATGGTGCTGGAGGGAAACTCATAAGATGCAGTTATTAGAAAACACATACCCTATGCTAATCTCACGCTTTCATCT